TTGTGTAAATAATGTGGTTAAGTCAGTATATCGGTCTAACTGAGAGTATGTAATGTCATGAAACACATTACAAAAAACAACACTTGTAATGATGAAAAAGCATTGATTCGTCACTAGTTACCCTTGCTGTTAGCGATATTTTCGAGTTATAATAGTTTTCTATTGATCCGCAGATGGCGCTATAAGCTGAAGTGTCCCCAGCTGAATTACATACTTTGTTTCCATCCCATAACCCAACACTTTTATAAATTGATAACAGGATTTAAAACAAACTTTATTTTTAACTAATGCAAGTAAACTTTTTATATTTACATTTCAAAGTAACCATCATGAATGCACTGGTAAGTGATATTGTACTGAAGTTGTTTGATGTCTAGTTGACAGAATATATTCAGACAAAAATAAGGCCTAAGTTTAAGATTCGACAATTTGTGTAATTTTGATAGTCTATATCATTGAGGTAATTAGGTTAGTTGAACAAGTAGACCTATGACCTTGCTGTTACTTATTAGTTCTGATTTGGGGATTCACTATAATTTTGTAATGAAAACTGGTGATTCACCAATATGAACACTTTTTTTAATAATAAAAGGAATCAGCATACCCACAAGTATTTAAAATTAGTTAACTGTATCACGAAAATTGCCCCTCCCCCGGTAGATGTTACATTGGCGCTCCTAAACTAGTTATTTTTTTCTTACTAAATAAAAATGAAATAGAGATACCATAAAATATTGTGTTTAACATAACAAAATTATCTTTTTTCCGTTTATTTAATTATTGAATGTTACAAGCTTGTTTCACCATAATTTCAATTCAAAAAATATTCACCTGTAAACATTAGAAAGTTAAATGTAGACCCACAAACTACAAGCGATTTTGGAGAAACTAAATTCGAATAACGTCCGTAAAATCTTACGAAAAGTTCGTAGGCAGATTAGGTTACAGTACCCAATCTCATAAAAACCAGAGTATACGTCAATCAAAACTAGAGAATTCTATCTGTAATTTGTCAAAGTACAATATTTTTCTTATTGTACAGTCACAGTTGAACTCGGTATTTCGACAAAATTAGTACCGAGTTCTGTTAATGGTTTTACTGTATTAGCGATGTTATTTATATTAATAACTGCTTGAGTTAACTATAATTATAAGTCCACATAATTCATTGGCTTATGACAAGTATAACTGTAATCATTCCTAGACAGCTTGTAAAAAGACTTACACACAGTAACAATTGTTGTTGTATCCAAGTGGCTTATATTAACCAGTGTTCCGAAAACTACCTAGTCTTATATCTCAGCCAACCAGAAGAGCTCTGGATTGAGCGAAACGCATCGTCGGCAACAGATATGACAAACATAGTGTGGTTGAAATACTATTAATATACACTTTTCCAATTCTTGAAAATAAATGTGATAAACCTAAAATTAAGTTCTCATAACAGATAATATTGTACTTATTCCTCCTGGCTTGTAAAAGGCATACACGCCATAAAAGATCACACAGTGTATTGAAAATACTGTTTGACGTAAAGTGACTTTTTTCTAGACCCGATCAAACCAAATCCAGGACAAACTATGATACTCACGAATATGTAATGTACATCCCTCACCAAGCAGCGGGGTGTAAGAGAAGCGCCAAAGAGTTTCTGAACACCCCTGGTTGTCCTCAAACACGTTGAGGTTGAAAGGACGTAACCAAAATTACCACCCAGAGTATAAGTAAGTACGATTTATTTTCTCCTAATATTTAGTTGCGAGTCTTTAACCAGAACAATGTGGATCTTTTTTTCTGTACAAAACATTAAAGTGATTTATATGTAAGTGAAGTATTTATTTTAAAAAAACAACAACAACAAAGATAGTGGATCTTTTAGACTATTGGGCTAGTCGTTCGATCCCCTTCTCTACTGTATTTATGAAAAAGGTACATAAAAAGCCAAACAAATTTCGTAACATATATATATATATATATATTACCACCACAGATAAATTATTTTTGACTAAATTTATATATTACAATTTATACAACATTTTTTGATATCAGTGAATCACAGTAACATGATAGCTTTTGTCTAAGGAGAATCATACTAGCAAACGGAAGGTAGGCCTACTACTAATTTATCTTTAAAATACATAAAATCCTTACCAGAAATATTACATTTAAAAATTTAGGGTGCCGTCCTACAAATAATTGCCCAATTCATGTGGCAAGACACTTTCTTCGTCAACAGTGCACGTATAAATATAAAACTTTCGTGAATAATAATTTTAAACATTTTACTTTAAACACTGAATGTCAAAATTATGTCTTTAAAATTTTAGTTTTATGTTGGGAAAACGTTAAAGTTTAGTAGGATGAAACGAAAGCGTTAATTATTAAAATTAAAATATCCCACTAGGATATCCTATTATTTTATCCAGTACAATTTAATCTCTTAAAAAATGTCGTTAATTAGTGGTCCAAATAAATAAAATTCCACTCTTAAGTAAGTCTTAAAATGTTATTTATTTACACCTGCTATCTGTAGTCATGAGCCCAACATTCATTTTGTATTAGTAAACGATTAGCAAAATAACTATCATGTACCGAAAATTAAAAATTATGTAAAATAAGTATGACACTTGTATATCCACATCAATACGATAAAAAAGTTTCATCACCACAACTCTTAAAATGAGTTTTTTAACATTTTGATCAACAAATAAAAACAGTTGTAAGTAGATCAAGAGAATTAAATACATTGTAAAATTGAGAAATCTGATGTTTTGAATAACCCTTTGCCAATATTACTTACAAACTCTAAACTAATATCATTCCTATGAATTATCTACACCCGTACACACTGTGCTAAATATTTCAAATTCATCACTTTGATCTATACTGTTCATACCAAGCGTAAAAAAAATTGTCAACTTCACACTTTAAACATATAAAATACAACTCAAATGGTATCCAATGTTATTTTCAATTGCAGTCAAAAATTTATTCTTATTACACTTGTGGGCTAATGAGCTGTGCTTTCAAACTTATGATTAAAATAACTTTTTCATATTCGGCGAGGAAAAAACATTTTTATTATTTTTAAGCATGTTATTGAGCCATTAGTTCGTGTTCATATGGTTTCATGTATCATTATGTCGAAATGCAACAGTCTTCATGTACACAAAAACTGGTTCGAATTTACAAAGATGGATTCAAGATTTTAGTCTGGAAGGTAATCTTCATGAAAATATGGTAAGCTAAATTAACTATAATACTCTGATTTAGTATTCTGTCTTAACATTAAATAAAGAAGAAAATAATAGCACGACTTTATGGTTAATCACCATGGTCGCCAAACGGCATTATCCGATTCTTCGGCCGATCTAGCTGGCTGATGATGGACACTTGATATATTTTTGACAAGTGCTGAACTACCGAACATGGAGTTCATACTATTATGTTCACTATGAACTCCAACTTCCCTAATCACAAGGTCTCTATCTTCTAGAAGTTTCTGTGGAGAAGTAGACAAATAGTTCTCCACACGATTAATGGTTGACTGGTTGTTTGAAACACATTCTACACTTAAGGATCCAGGTCGATGTTTATTAGCGATGGTAGACTGGACATCTTTTTTACTCATAGATGATACGGAAGTGTTAAATCTCGACGGTGAGATATCTTGAACAACGCTTGGAGTCTTGGATGAAAGGCTTTGGGAAGAATGGTCAATTTTACTTAAACTTACAGAAAGTGAAGATTCTTTTGGCGATTCCATCAAAGATTCAGCGAAGACTTCAGAACCAGAATCACTAGAACAGGGACTGGGGACACAACTTAATGAACTGTGTCTTCGCGGGTCTTCGGGTGACAGTGAATGGTCCCAGGATGAGTAACTGGGAGTGGTGGTGTTATTTGTGCTAACCCTATAATTAGTTTCATCCGTGATTCTGGAATCTATCACAATACTATTAGTAAGTTCATTAGAAACAGATGCAAAAGCTTTTCTTGGGAGCAAAAACGCAATGTCTCCGTTGGGAAGGCGACTTGGAATGAGAGGAAGACTTCCCAAAATTGTTTCGAGATTATCAGAAATTGTTAAGGGATTTGTAGCTGAACCAGGGGCCCTGAGAACATTATTGTTAATATCCAACCCTACTGTCATACTCTGTAAGGTGCTGGGTGGAACCATGTTATCAGAACTTGTAGTGAATATGTTACTGGGTATCTGGACTCCCAGTGGTTGAAAATGACTAACGACATCTGAAATGGAAGAGTTCATTCCCGGAAAGGCAACAGAAGCTATGCCTGTGGTGGCTGCTATACTGAACAGCGTTGGTGTTTGGAGAGTTGAAACACAGTTTCCCAGATGGTTCAATACACGTTGGCGAAGATTTTGCTCTATTCCTATTCTATTGAGATAGCGGCTAACCTCGGAGGCACACTCACTGAACCCAGCTTTGAACTTACTAAGAACGGTGGGGTCCGTTGCGATAGCAGCTAGAGAAAGAAAGAAGTGAATCAATTATGACATTTGTAAAACATACTACATAGATGGGCAGACAAATAGGAGAGATACATGTTACTGAAGCTGACATGAAAAAGTAAGTCTCGACATAATTCACACAAAATTAAAATCACTGTTAATTTTAAGCTTCTAGTATAATGTTAAGTACAAAGTTTTTAATCTATGTTATGAATATACGCAGATTATGAAAATTTTATTTCAATATATGAACTCTGGTCGCTTAAATTTAGATTGTGAATTATAAAGGTATACTGATGTATAGTATTAGCTAACAATAGTAAAGAAGATAAGCTTCAGTACTGTCTCCCAGTGGCACAGCGGCATGTCTGCTAAATTACAACGCTAGAAACCGGGTTTCGATACCTTTGGTGGGCAGAGCATAGATAGCCCATTGTGTAGCTTTTAGCTTAACTTCTAAACGACAGTTGAAGGAAGAAAGATGTTGCTAACAAGTGTAAGATAACTAATATTAATACGGTTGAGGTTTTGATTTAAAAGTATTGAACATGCAAACTTTGTGTAAAAACACGTAGAAAAGAAAGTTGTATATAAATATACGAGATTTTGATTCTTCTGGATTCGGCACGCATAAATATAAAACTTTATTTAATACGTTTTCTATTCCAGATATTCTTGTACATAATTTGATACAAGAACTAAAAGTAGTAATTCTGTTTTGGCAGATAAAATATGGGAACAGAACTGTAGTTCGAACACCCCTAGGTGTCCACAGGACAGTTAGTTCCTGGGAGGTCAGCGAGACATTAGCCGTTAATAGAACAATTTGGTGTTAGTTCGAGGGCAGGCCGAAATTTTAGAAAAAGGTTTCTGGACTGAATAAAGTTCGAGGACCTTTGACTTAATATATATATAACATGAATAATAATTTAATTCATATAAAATAACACGCAACAATACGTAAAACAACTGTTTGATTTAACAAACGAGATATTTTGACGTGGCTTTAATCACGTGCTCGGTTTCAACACCTATTAAAAGATATTCGTACAGCGTAGCAGTAAACATATCATAGACACTGTAAATGTAATAAAGCTTCTTGATTTGTGCTTTTATAAGTTTAGTTTTCCTGAAACTCGTTAGTATTGCATTACTATGAACATAATATACACTAATAAAGAAAACGAGCGTTTACGTTAGTAAAACACTCACAAGTATAACATTAACAAAACATACACTTTACATTGCTACTGAAACAGACAACATTATGCAACTTACCTGCCACTTGCTGTTTCTGCACATTTTGAAGATGTTTGACAGTCATATCCAAGATATCTGCCTTTTCTAGCTTTGAATGGCGAGATGGCTGATGGGTGAAAATAAAATTATATATTATTAATAATCTAATTAAGGCTTCGTAATTATGTGTTTAAACTATTTAATCTTTTTTTTCGAAAATATATAAAAGAATAATAGACTAACTGTGGAATTATTAAAATATACGTTATCAGGTCTAGGTTTAGTATTCCAATATTCGTGACTTTTAGTTTTACTAGAGCATTATTAATTTAGTTAGGTTCGTACAAAATATTACTTACATCTTCGCGTAACGCATCTAAAACCAGACTCTTCAGTTCTGTGAGGCATTGGTTGATTCTGGCTCTTCTCCGTTTTTCCATAATGGGCTTTGTAGCCTATATGAACCATGGTTAAAAAAAGAAGAAACCGAGATGATGGTAATCAATAATATTGTTAAATATGGGTGCACTGCATATGTTAAGAACAGTATGAGCATAGCTTGCAGACTTAGGAATTTAACATTCTACGTTTATAAAATATTGTACGAATTCAAAAAAAAACATAACCAATATAATACAAAAATGCAACCCGTTACACCAAAACACTTAAGTAGATAATATATCTATATATCATTATGAATAAAGTGATAGTTAAGCCTATTCGACGAGTCTTCATCACACTGCGACCGTTTTAATTTGAATGCGAAAAAATAATCTATTTATCACACCTAATATTACCCTTACGTAGGGTAGAGTATGTAATATTACTCCAGTCGTAACTCAACTTCACAGTAATCCATATAATTAATAAATAATGTAATATAAATTTCTTACAAGTTACAGTTTTTACACATTGAAAAATGCTTCTTCTTCTTTTTATTTCTTCAGACTAGTTCAACTCATTAAAACGAAAAGTCACGGTTAATTTATTAATTACTATCAAAAATTAAGTTGGTTCAAGTATTTAATTAATTATTAATAAGCAAGGGTATCACTAGCTGCTCAAAAACTTCGGGCTTTGACCCCCAGAAACAGCAACTATTCAGAATAATTATACAGTAATATATTAATAATAATATTAATTTATAGCGTACGTAAGAAAACCAAAGCACCGTGAGTGTGAACTACATCCGAGGCATGGACTGATGTCCAGCGACGCCCCTACTACTAGTACTAGCCAGTAGTAACATGCTTTTAAATTTAATACTAATTATTATATGTTTATTATCGCAAGTGTTGAGGCTCATGGCCTGGAACTTACGTATTTCTATCGAAAGAACTAGCTATAATATTATAAACTTGAACTGGAAAGTGACTAAAACTATCATTTTTATTGAATCACTCCCACATTTAAACACGAAACATTGAAAACTTACCCGTCGGTAGTCACTAGTTTTTGATGGCGGTTTTTCTGCGGGCATTTTATCTTATAATTTCGTAAACAAAAATACTGTAAGTGAAAACAGTTCAAACGTCCAGCTCAAGCACTCATAACTTATATTTCACGTTGACCACTAACTTCCTTCTTCAGACACCTCGTAACGGAATGCGAGTCTAACAGCTGCGTTTCTCAGCTTAAATCATAACCCCTGTTGTGTGGCCTGCTCGGGACTACTCAACAAGTGCATGTGTGGGAACGTGAACGCGTGACTTGATTGTTATTTATATAAGGTCAATGAAGCATGTTGGTCGGGCGTGTGAGAACAGCGAAGCGAGTTCTTTCCCACACTAGATCACAGTGGCGGGCGCAGCACCCGCTGCTTAGATTAGGTAAGGAAGCGCCACAAAGGGTTGCATGTCGTTACTGATAATATTTTTAATGTTATCCGTATGAAATTTTATTTTAAATCTACCTAGTTTTATGCATATCATACATTTATTCGTTCTTCACATATTTCGTTAGTTTCAGTTGTAAATTCTTGAAGGAATATAAATATATTTTTAAGTATATTTTTATTCACTACAAAAATATGTGTTTGCTTATTACACAGTTCACAAGATGCATTATGACTTCGCTGTTTTTGTGGTATCAAAACATCAGAAGTAAGCAAAATATGTAGACCAGAATAAAAAAGTAATAAACCTAAAAAGCTAATCTTGATTAACAAACTAACTAGAAGTATTTAATGTTATTTAATTCCAAAGGAAAGTAAAATTTATAATGATTAAAGTGCTTTGTATTATCGAATGGGTACCGTAGCTGTTAACGTTTTCGGCCGTAATCTGTAAAAATCTCAATAGGTTTGATCAACTTATATTTACGTTATTCCTAAATCCAATCCACAAATTAAGCTAACAGTGCATAATAATTTTTATAAGTGTAAACATTAATTAAAACTACTAATATTTATAACATATGTTGGTATAAGCCTACAAAATGTTTAACTATTATAATTACAGAATACCCTAGAAACATATGAAAGCAACTTTGTGTTTCTAAAATTTGCCGGTATGTATCACATGCATTGGAATTTGGCAGAAGTATATTTCAAGCTGTATTGACAATGATACAGCGGAACAAATTCCACCAGTTATGTAGAAGCATAGATAAACATAACTCCTTAAAGCTGATTGGCCATCCGCGTAGGTGTAGTATTATGTCTGTGACTTACAGATCAATCAGGGGGTAATCTGAGCTAGAAGATGCTGGTAGAACTGCACGTGCCACCACTTTCTTCCCATAACCCTGGCTCGTGCGTAGTGTGGGAAAACTCCGCCTCTCAGCGCGCGTGGTGTGCAGCTATCATAGAAACTGGTTCTAAGCCCTCAGGCACGGAAGTAAGACTTGTGCAGCTGATGTTAGCAGATGGACTGGTTGGTGGTACGTAGTCTTTTGCTACTGTGAAGTCTGTACTATTCCGTGCGCAGTGGCGTAACTTTCATCAACTTTACTAAATTTAGTTATCACTGTAAAGACTATAACTTTTTGTAATTGTTGTGGATCATGTACTATGAAATCCAATTACTAATTATGCAGAGACATGGATATATGTTATATTTAATTTGAAATTTAAATATACTTACGACACTTAGAGCAACCACTAAGTTATTTATATCTTTTATGGATTTTAAGCTAAATTAATCCCTTACAGGTAAAAGACGTTTCTCAGACCAATAGAAGCAAAGGTATCAAGCCGGTAAAGTGACACGTGGACCATGTCGTCTCTCAATTCAGCATACAAAACACTTAAATAACTGTTCGTGTCGAAAACGGTTATTATTTCTTTGTTTATTAAATAACTAATTTTAAAAAGGAAGATACAGTACTAATGTGAATATACGATATAATTTAAGTGTTATGCCTAACGGAAGTAGAAATCAGAGAAGTATGTGGACGGATAACCACCAAACTCCACGATGGTCTATTTGCTCTGTGCTCAGCGCGGGTATCAAAACCCGATTTTTAGCGTGATAAGCCCTCACACATACTGTTGAGCCACCAAGGGGGTATAAGGTAGCTAGGAGTGAGGATAATATTACAATATTGATGTGACACTATAAAAGCGATTACTGTTCATATTGTTATGACAGCGGAAGTCACGTGACGCTAGTAACACGTCATGAGATTCTCGAAGGATCTTGACTTTTCCTGGCAACTCTAGTCTTTTCTAGGAGCCCTCTATTTTAGTATATAAGTCCAGCAAATAAAGGGGAGAGATAATATGCAGATAGACAGATAATTGAGTCAAGCTAGTGGTAGTGACTTTAAGTAAAGTGCGTGAATCGTTGTGAATTATAGGGTGTGTTTAAGTTAAATTAACTGTAGAAATTTTGTGTATTGCAAAGTTATATTGAGAAAGAATAAACTAGTTTTATTTAAGAAAGGACTTGTATCGCTGAAGTTCCTCGGGAAGAATTTATACCGGAAATTAACAAACAAGCAGATACGCAACAAACTGGTGTCAGAGAGTGGAACTGAAAAGAAAAAATAAGATGGAAACGAGAAGTGGCAAATCAAACTACAGTTTAGCAGATTTGATGGCAGCAATACAAGAACAGCAAAAGAATCAAGAGGAACGAGAAAATAAACAAGAAAAGAGACTACAACAGTGGTTGGAGGAAAAATAAAAGAAATAAGAAGAACGAGAAAAGAAACAAGAAAAGAGATTACAGCAGTTGTTGGAGGAAAAAGAAAAAAATAAGAAGAACAAGAAAAGAAACAAGAAGAGAGACAACAGCAGTGGCAAGAAAATCTGCAACAGTGGCAGCTCGAACAGCAAAATAAACAAGAGAGATTACAGCATTTGTTGGAGGAAAAAGAAATGAAACAAGAAGATAGACTACAGCAGTGGTTGGACGAGAAAGAAAATGAGCAAGAAGAGAGACTACAGCAGTAGTTGGAGGAGAAAGAAAATAAACAAGAAGAAAGTCTCCAACAGTTGAGAGAAAGCCAGCATACACAAATGGAAAAGATGAGTAAATTTCAAAGTGAATTAAATACATTAAAGGATGATTTACTGTCTTTTACACAAGGAGGATATATTAGCCTTCGACCTAATCAACCCCAGACAACAGGAAGTCCCTTCCAGACCCCGCAGCTAAACCCTAATGCAGACATCTTCAGTCCTGTCAGAAGTCACATCCCAGACATGAATGTCAGAAATAGGGGTGATCTAGTACGAAGGAAGGAAGCCACAAAAATTCGATGGGAAGGCACAGTGGGAAGCATATAGAGCACAATTTGAGCTCCTGGCGGAAACGAATGGATGAACAGAGGAGCAGAAAGCAGTATATCTGGCAACGAACCTGAAGGGACAACATCAGCAGACGACAGGCACAACTATAGAACACTGGTAGCAGCTCTAGAACTCAGGTATGGAACCCAAAATCAGTCCGAAGTTTACAGGGCTCAGTTTAGGACTAGAGTCCGTGCTAAGGGGGAGAGCCTGCAAGAGCTGGCACAGGATTTGGAAAGTATGGCACACAAAGCCTACCCAACTGCAC